GATGAAGTAGATTGTTGCATTAAATATACACCGGCATTAGGTGGATGTATTATGAGTAGTAACTTCTTGATCAGATAACATTCAACTACATACAACGGATATTCACAAAAATTGATACAAGTTGAACACGGTATCGTATAGTCCAAGAAAACAGATGCTAAATTTCCAACTGAGTGGGCAAGGTGATCACACGCAAAAACTTACAAAGCGGCACCAAGACCAAGCTTCGTCTTCTTCATAACAGCAGTGAGAGGAGCCTCTAAACCCTTGGACGTGAGCCCAATGCGTTCTCCTTCTGCCCAACCCATTGCAGCGAGCATCTTGAATCCAATGTTCGTCTCTCCTATCTTTGGAGCAGCCTAAACTATGTGTTAAGAGTGAAATATTTTTGTCCAAGATAAGATTGCTCACATGACCGACAACTTCTCCTTCACGATGCTTAGCCAAAGACTGTGGTTTACCTCTCTGTCGATCATTGCTGACAGGAGGGCCTTGCCATGTGCTTGTAAAGGACCTCATGATTCTTCTGACCTTCTTCTCATTGATATTGATGCCACTCAAAGTAGTCTTGTACAGCATAGTGTAACGATTACCTTCCTTGCCATGACTTTTGGTCTTCAAATTGAAACATTCGGCAAGTTCGTGGACCTTCTTCCTGGTAGCTTTATCTGCAGGAGGTGTGACCATGGAGTTTCGGCCACCAAGATCTTCTAGGAAACGTCGAATTTGTTGCTCCAGTGTTACGAAATCGACGATGCGGTTAGGGATTTGAATATCTGAATCCAACCTGGAAACAGCGATAGCAGCTTTCAAAGCTTTCTTGCCACCCTTCTTTGGTGTAAGGGGGTCGGCCGCGGCCTCCAAGCGAGCGAGACGTCGTTTCTCTTTGTTCTCAGCTTTCTTGGCACGATCCTTATCCCACTGATCCTGTAGCTCCGAAGGAATATGTTTGTCTTTCTTACGCTCTGAAAAAATGAGCATCAATAGATGGAAGGTAGCAATGTGAATCGACGAACTTACTTGCAGGTTTGCCCATCATTTCTTCATAGTCGTCGATCTCGATGTTTCCATCCATGATAGCATGGAACAGCTGGTTGCGTTTCTTGCGATCCTTCATAGTGAAGATGTCATTGTTCTCATCCACGAATTCCTGTAACGGTAATTTACAGTTAACGATCGAGATAGTCAAAAACATAAGTCGACGCTCACCTGGATCTGTTGAATATAATCTTCATCGTCATCCGCCCAAGTCCTATCAAGAGACATTTCGACATCACCGTCCTCCTCGCTCTCATCGACGTCTTTCGCTTCAGCACGTTCCTTACCCTTGACTTTGGACCGCATTCGCTCTAATCGAGCTTGGAACCCACGTCTTGGAGTATCTTCCTCATTTTCGTCCTCATCAGTTGATTCATCCTCATTACCAACTTCGTCCTCCTCACTACTTCCACTTCTTTCTTCGTCCCTTTCAAAGTCCTCTATCAACATTCTCTCCTCGTCTGCCAGGTCATCTGCTGTAACATGGGTCTGCCCTTCCGAACTCATACTCTTGACAAAACTCTTCATCGCTTCTACATCCAGATCTTCATCTAAATCCATACCACCAATTCCATTTGAGATTTCATCGACCTCGTGATTATCTGTCCCCTTTCCATCAATCTTCGCAACATTCTCATCGTCGGAATCCTCATCTCCCCAATCAACATCCGAATCCCCTCTTCTCTGTTCAGCTCTTCTAGGGTCAACCTCGCGACCTTCATGCAAATGCGCTTCTTCACGTGCCAAACCAAAGGATGCAAAACCTCCTTTTTTCCTCCTTCTAGATCGTAGGGTAGGTCTGAGCAGAGAACGCGGTGTTCTAACAGGATGAACCTTCCGAACGATTGTTTTCTGTTGCTTTAGTAGAGCAAAGCTGACATCGTTGAATGAAGGAGTAGAAGGAGCATTTGAGAGTGAAGGCTGGTGGTTAACCACCTCTCGGATGTCAGAAGGACCTGCTTCCTCCTGGACGGCTGGCGTAGTAGAGAACGTATCAGACGGTTGCGTCTCTGTAGCAACAACCGCTTCTGTGGACTCCGACTCGCGAAATGATTCTGGAGTAGACTCGTTATCGATGAACTCCTGCAATGTATTCTGTGGTGCCAGGCCAAGCCCTGCACTCTCACTCGACGGAGGAACAGCGAGGGAAATGGGCGGATCGGTTTTAATGAGTTCAGCAACCTCCGGCAATGACTCGTCGACAGGGTGGGCGGGAGCAGGTGATGATAAATCGGTGATGGGACCTTCAATCCGTGTACGTTCTTGTTGTGCTTGATTGTCAGAAATTTTTCTCCCAGTGAGAATAGAATGTGACAAAAGAGGAGTACCCTCTACGGGGGGAGTGAGGGGTCCGGCCCGGGGTTCGGGGGCATCATAGACGATGATTTCCTCATCGTCATCCATGCTCTCGCCGAGTACGGGACCATACGAGATGCGAGAGGATCTTTCGATGGGAGCGGGAGTAGTGTCAATATAAAATCCAGTAAACTTCTCCTCTACCATAGAAATATCGAGAGTAGTAGAGCCAGGGTTCTGTCGTCTAGCTGCTGCTGTTGCATCAACTTCAGCCTGTAATCGACCTATTTCTGAAAAATCGATTTCTTCTAGGACTTCTGTTTGTTCTCTCGCCTCTTCCGGGGTGTCTTGGAACTGATTGAAGTCGTTCTTGAATATTTGAGACACACGGTCAGCGGTTGGAACATGACTCTCTTCATTGTCAGCTGTTGAGGGAAGGTGAGCTAAATCCAGCAAAGCGACAAGGAAGACAGCCTACCAACGTCCTCTACAATAGGTTTCAAGATATCTTCTTCCTCCTGGAACAATATGGCAGTATGTTCAGAACGCACGAATGAAATAGGTCGTAATAAAGGCCGGTCTTCGTTCAAAACTTTGGTAAGGGGAGCACCTGCCCTTAGCTTTGAGGAAAGATTCTTCGCTCCACGGCCACGCCCTTGCCCTATTGGAATACCCCTCCCGCGTCCCATACCAGAGTCAACCTCAAATAAATCATCAAAATTGGTGTTATATTTCGGGCGACCTCTACCTCTTGGGCTGTCGAACCCTCGACGAGGCGTATGAAAACCAGACCGAGGGCTAGCAAAACCATTACCGCCACGACCTCTACCTCGAGGTGTATTTGAGCCACTAGGAGAATCTATGAAAATTTATGAGAGTATCGTTCGAAGCGAGAAGGAAGAAACCAACCCTTGGACCATTGTTGGATGTCTAAGTCAATCATCTCCATAGGGATATATCCTCCTCCTCGACCTACTCCTCTACCTCTATCCATGTATCCACCTCTGCCACCATTTGATCCTCGACCGCGACCACCTCGACCGCGATTTCCTCCTCTCCGACCACCTCTTGGACTATTGTTTTTTCCTCCTCGGCTTTTTGGCATTGTGCTTCAATCTATGGATACAAGATATCGATGTTTGTTAGCGATACAAAAATTACAGAGTAGTGTTGCGACAAGACATTGATTGGTGAAATTGAGGATGATTCTAGTCAGACTTGAAGCTTGAAGTTGAAGCGGTTGCGGAAGTGATCTATAGAATATAGATCTGTGCACCTCCCAAATATCGCAAGTATAGCACGCAGAGAAAATTAAATTAGCTAAGCTAACCCTAGATTAAGTCTTTATGTTTATGGTTACCTAATAGGCTAATACACTAGGACGTCACACCCTTCAAGCCGTGACGACGTTACAACGGTATCCCACCTTGACCTCTTTCCACCACTGTTTATTTATTTCACTCAGAATGGTCGTCCAAACATCTGAACAACTAAATCATGACAGAATAAATTTGGCCCGACTTGTACGCAGCCTACAAGCTACGGTTTCAAAAGGAGAATGGGATACAAACTCAGAGAAACCAGGAGGGATAGGTTGGATCAAGATTCACGGCCTTGCGCAGGTTTGTTCTGGAATAAGGATAGCATTCGACTCACACCTAACTCCTCTACTCTCAAAGAATTTGAAGTACGCTCACAAACTATTATCGAATGTCGAACAACATCACGATCCAACACACGCTTCGTAAGTCACTGGCGGCCAGTTGATTCTAATGCTGACTATTACTATAGCACCTCATGGAGTCTTCAGGATACCAAGAATATACTGGATAATTTGGACTTGAGAATATCTGAACTCAGCAAGGTGATGCGAATGTACCCCCACCCCAATCCAACTATAATACTGATATATTGAACAGCGATTGAAACCCATCTCTGTCAGGCCGCAGCCCATTCTCCCTACGTTACCAACTCCTATATTCCCTCTTTCTACTGAGGAGGTCCAACCCGCTTCCCCGCATGCTCAAAAATCACCAGAGACACTGGCTGCGCCACTTTCTGCTCAAGATTTACTGTTGTCACCTTCCGATTCAGCAGTCATCTCACCTCTGGAACCCGAATCAGCCTCTACGCTTCTCCCGGTCGAAACAGTGCTGCCCAGCAAGAGTAAAGCTTCTGCCTCCACGTCTCTCCTCAAAGCCCAGCCAGCTTTTATGCAGAACTCTGCTTCTCTGCATGAAGAGCTATCAGAGCAACTCGCTCAAATGGCGACACAACTCAAGCGAAACACTATGCATTTCGCTGCCTCTCTTGAGAAAGACAAGGATGTTGTACTCGACGCTCAGGGAAAGTTGGACAAGAACTTTGACGTGATGACGAAGGAGAGAGTGAGACTACGCGATCACAGTTCGAAGAGCTGGGGAACAACATGGATCACGCTTTTAAGTGTTATAGTTGCGTTGGTCGGTTTCATTTTAACTTTCTTTGTGATTCGCATTACTTGATACGCCGTATATGATCTGACGAACAATGGAGCACTTTTATTATTTACATCCATTCGATGAGCAATATGCAAACCTCTAGCTGAAGCCTAGTTTAAGAAGCTTTTAAGTGTAGGGTTGTTGACGGAGGGCGGTTGTAGTTTGGAAATGTGGAATATCTCCAACTCCCGTTTAGCTCAGTGGTAGAGCGCTTCACTAGTAGCATTAATGGCAATGCGACAATGAAGAGGTCAGTCGTTCAAGTCGGCTAATGGGAACTATTTTCTTCTCGTTCCAGAGCATTGTGTAGTATCATGTTCATCGACGAACACTCTACGAACTTCCAGTCAAACTCTTATTTTGCACTGCTGATACGATTTACAGGGCCAACGTTCATATCCATTGCATTCTCTGCTATAAATCATTGTTCCGACATCTACTTCTGATAGTACTCAAGCATACTCTATTTCTTTGATTCTCAGTCCTTCGAAGGAATCCACCTGTAGAATTTTCGGTGTCGGTTTCTTCCAGCACTCCGAAAATATACTCCCCCTCCGAAGACCATACATGCCAATTGCTTCTCGTTCTTCGGCCATGAACTCAAGAGCTCCTAAAGTTTATTGAAGTACCTGTAATTATCAATCTGCTAAGCCTCGTCGCGTTTGTATGGCGGCCGTATCGAGTATAACCAGGGATGCACGTAGACCGCTGTAATCGTCCGAGAGTAAGGTTGCAGCTCGGAAGTAGTATCTCAGTGGTTCCTGTACTCCCATATTCCCTGAATATTGCCAGTGAGATATCGGTTGCTTAACGTCTCGACGTTCAAGCGAAGGCACCGATTCTGTGCCCGAAAATAGGGAGGCGACGAGAATCTATGGGGAAGGACGGCAAATTTCTAAGACTGCCTTCGAGGTCGGCACCTGTATCATAAAATCTGCAGATAGATAGCGTCATTTCCTCAGATCGTACAAAGCATGTCTCCGGATCATCCATTGAACTGTCTCGGGTAGAAATGTTGGACCAGAGACTGTGAGACGAGAAGGTGATATTCCGCCAACAATGATGGATATAGGAGACACGAGTCTATCGCACGGCATCTGCGCTACTAGAATAGCGAGAAATGCGTCCTTCTCTGATAGTCGGTGAGGATGTTCGATGCACTCGCCTAGCTGGTGAAATGTTTGGTTTCGTCTTAACAGATGGAGAAATGATGTTCGGTGATATACTAAAGAAATTTGGTTGACCTCGATATGAAGGTCGTCGGCAAGATGATGAAGATGATGCTTTCACGCCAATGGTTAGGGCCCTCCAAACACGACTGACACGAACCCGGAGCGCTGCGAGATAATACTGCGTGCATATGTTATTTATAATCAAGAAGGGGGAAATACCTCAGGATATACCGTACTCTTGTTATGTACTCCCATAGGAGCTGACAAGAATCAACTGGAAGCCGAAACTGTTTCGACTAATTCGAAGAAATCCACGGACAATTCCAACGATTTAATGGTACCGGCGAGTGTCTCGACCTCCATCGTTTCCGCCCTAAGAAGGACAGAAAATAACCCTCTACCGTTCTTCTTCAACGATGCCAACACTTGACAGAGCTCCTCCAAATTCTGATGACTGTTGATCCTGTCAGCTTCTTCCTCGGAGAGGAAATGTGCGATTTCCAGTGAACGAAGCGCTGGGAATGCACCGTTTCCTTCAGATAGAAATGCATTCAGCAATGCGCGTAGCCCTGTGTCGCTATTCAGAAAAATATGGCAAAGTCGGGAAGATCGACTGATCAGCTGTAGCAAACCAGAAGGAGAGTCAAAGTCCTTCATGTCGATAGCTTCCAGTGTGTTGTCAGGTATCTCGGATGTTAGTGCATCTAGGAATGGGTCTATGTCCAAGATATCCATATCGTCATCATAAAATGAATCAACGGTAATGTCAATATCGAGGAAGGGTGGCGATTGTTGTGGTGATGGCCAGAATATCGCTCCTTGACTATGGAAAGTATTTGTACTAGTCCTCCATGCACGAAAAGAGAGATACTGTTCCTCGCTATCTGATGAAATGTAGGATCCAATATAAATCTGGACTGCAGATCTTTCCGCAGTCGCGACTACTTTCAATTGCGAAAAAATGTGGTCTAGCTGGTGAGCGTATTCGTTCCAGTCTCGTAGGGACAAATATCTGAGGGAAAGGTCAACATTGGTATTGATGGGGAGAATCATATGACTGTAGAGTCGAATGAGCAACGGGGCCCAACCGCTGAGGTGGACGTCCCTTAGGGTGGTAGCCAACGTCGTCGGTGAAATTGAGATGTAATCGACATCAAGAGTAGGGAAAGCATTTGTGATGCTCAGAAAGTTCAGCTGGAGGAGATTTTTGAGAGATTTCAAAGCATTTGATAAGAAATCTCCCCGTCCAGCGTACGGTGGAGAGTCTCCAGCGGAATACTCTATGCTAAGCCTACGGAGACTCCTCGGATAGTTTGCTTCTACCCAATCATAATTGTCGTCGGAGATATCGAGACACTTCAAAGCTGGAGTATCAGTATCTCGTAGGAAGTCTCGCAAAGCCATGGGATGGGGGTTCGACGGAAACAGAGATGAATGCAATTTCATGGACTTGAGAATTGGCGCCACATGAACATTCTGCCAAGGTGAGGGGGTAAATCTTTCAAACCGAATGCTTGTTGACCAATCGAGACTTTCGACACAGTCGAGATGTGAGGCAAGGATCGACAGCGTCACAAGGGGACTATCCACATTTTTTTCTTGATATTGGTCAGCTAAGTAAACTGAAAGGGGAATTCTCGCGGAACGCAATAGGCATGTTGCCAGATAATCGGTATTGTAGACTGCGATGTGGGACCATAAACGCGGAGACGATAGAGCGATATTCCGCCAATAGTAGGAGACATGGGAGACTTTGGTCCACTCCACGGCTTCCACACGGTACGAAATTCGTTCACAACTTTTCCTGTGGCTATGGAAACAATTGGTTGAAAGGATATAGAATATCTCTTCCAGGATTTCCGGGGGGAGTCGTGCGACAGGTACCAGTTGATTGAGGTGTCTGGTAAGACGGAAAACGGCTGTGTAATGTTCTATATGCAGTGCGCGATGTTCATCAATCCGACGTAGCGTAAGCTCTCGCTCCAGTGCTGTTGGATGTTTCGAGTAGAGGCTTGAGGCGACACTGCAAAACGACAGCAAGTTATCAAGACATACTGATACAATATTAAACTCCACCTACTGAGGTGGCAAATTCTCCATGGAATTAAACTAGTTATATCACGGTCCTGCAATTCAATTATTCTGCGGATAGAACAGAGACCCAGTAGAGTGTCGCCGAGGTTCGCGTTCAAGCGGCTTATCGGTAAACATGTAAAAATCAATTCGGACAAACTTCAAAAACTTGAATTTGAATGGTGACCGTGACGAACGATCAATGTCACAGAACGCTTCACATACTATCTGACGATTTCAGGCCGGTAGATTCTGCAAACTGATTATTTTGAAGCCAATCAAATACAATATCAACCTGAAGATCGAATTTTGTGGTCGAAGGAGTTCGCAAGTGATTTCAAGGATATGACGATACGACCAAGTCTACTTTGAGGCTGAAACCTTTTAGCCCTCAGGATGATAGACAGCGACTCTCTCCCAGACTCCTTCAATTTCTGAAGGAGATTACAAAGCTCTTCCAAATTATCGTAACCATCGCTTTTCTCCTCGCCAGATTTTGTCGTCATGAGATGGGAGATTTCAAGGGAACCAAGAGCGGGGAAGGTTCCTCCATCCTCCATTCCGAAAACATCCAGTAATCCACGTAACCCGGCATGACTATCCAGATATATATGGCGAAGCCTGGAAGACATGCTAATTGATCGCAGTAAATGGAGGGGAGATTCAAGATCCTCGATAACGAGGGTGTCAAGCCTATCTAGAGGAATTTCGGATCCCAACAGGCTCAAAAATGGATCCCACTCGAATTCGTCTTCTTCGGCTTCGTAGTCAATCATCTCGGGACTGATCGATACATTGAGGGAACATGATGACGGCCACGACCATGTAATGGTCCCACTCGGAAGTGTAATATTCAGAACAGCTGTCCATACAAGGATGGTGATGTCTTTGTCGTCGCAAAAGGGAAGATCTGAGCTGAGTATAACTTGAATCGGAGAGTTGTCAGTATCTGACTTCAAGTGAGAGAATATCCATCGAGTAATCTGGGCATGTTGTTCACTCCATCCTTCTTCGACATAATACCTGAGGGATAGGCGAACCCTGGCTTCACTAGGAATAACGAGGCGACTGTAGAGTTGCATAATCGGAGGACCCCAACCATAGAGGTTGATCGCCTTCAAATTGGGTAGAGTTGTCCGACCTCTGAGTTCATATTTCAGTTCGGAGGGAGAGGGAAAGGCGTCAATGATGATGAGATCCTGTAAAAGGGGAAGAGTGTCGAGAATTTCCAATGCATTCGATAGGTAACCGCTGTCTTCTGTGTATGGTGTACAGTCTCCATCGCAATAGTTGATCTCAAGCTTGATTAGGGTTTGCGGATACCAAGAATTAACCCAATCGTAGTTGTCGTCGGAGATGTCGAGGTGCCTCAGCAAAGGAGTATTCGTGTGCTGTAGAAATTTTCGCAGAGCTATACACTGGAGGCGATCACTGATAGGTTGAGAATTCAATGTCAAGGATGTCAAGATCGGGGCTGCGGAAACTCGATCCCAAGGGGATAAGGTATTGGACGAAAAAGGCGTCTTCGTGGACAAATGCAAGCTTTGAATGCGGTCGACATGTTCGGCAAGAGTAGCTAGGTAGCGAAGTAGCTGAGTCCCGTTTGCGTTGCCAGGTTTGTTTTGGTCGTCAATAAATATGGAAAGAGGGGTATTTGCGGAGTTGGATATGCATGTTGTCAAATAGTCCAGATTGTAGACAGCTATGTTGGACCAAAGACGAGGAAATGACAGGGTGATATTACGCCAGTAGTTGCAGACACGAGAGACTGTTGTCCATTTGATCGCTTCTTCAGCGTGTTGTCCGTTACCAATTTTTCGATGAGAATAGAAACAATCAATCGCGTAGGGGTAGAAAATCTCTGCCAAAATTTCGGACGGTAATTGTGCGACGGGAATGAGCTGGTTAAGACGTCTTGTGAGTAGAAAAGCAGCTTCAGAATGTTTGGTTTGCAGAGATTTATGTTGCTCAATTTTGCGACGCATTATCTCGTGTTCTATCGCTGCTGTTTTCTGAGAGCTTTGGCAACTTTT